CTACTAGAATTATTATATATATATATATATATATATATATATACATATATACATACATGCATAACAAGCGAAAATTTGCTAGGAAAGGAAGGAAAGAATGACACGCATGCCAATCTGAATGATAATCATATAACTAGCGGTACGCCTTGAAGTGCGTGTATATAATGGATATAAATATATATATATCTCTACGTATTTTCTAATTTCGATTGTGGATTGAGTTGACAATCGTTCGCCTACCTCTCATACCAGTAGACTCGCGCCTGTCGTTTTGTGTCATAATTCATTCCATGTTAACGCGTTATTTTTGTCTGATGATATTGTATCAAACGCACACATATTACAGGTGGATTGACACCTTCGTCGCAGAGGATGTTTGTGGCAATTGCGGCCAACTGTATTCCCGTGGTATGTGATTCCGTCTGTTAGATATCACGAGTGATGTCGAAGTTCTACCTCAATATGTGCTGATTGTATGCTCATGGATATAATATAATCTCAGACAATCTCTCCGTTTCAAATGTGCTATTTGTGTGTTCGCGGAATGTATTGCCTTTTAAATGTATCACTTAACAACGCAGTTGATAAGGTGTCTAACGTACCGTCAATTGATAGAGCCTATTTTATTTTAAGTCGGGATTAGCGAGCTTCTCATCTCTGTACCACTGTATAAGGCAGTTTATACAGGTACCTGTGTACTGAAACCTTTCTCTTTCTCACACGAATACGTAATCGAGTATAGAGCTGAAATAAACACTCGTATTGATATATTTAACTTGGAACATACACAAGTGTCTTTATCAGCCCTTACAGTGAGGTGCCCGCTGTGAATCAATACAGCGTACCAATGGGCGTCAATGCAACGTACGAATGCGCATCACGTACATTCAACTTAAACCCTTGCCAACTTTCCAATGTCTTATGTCATGTTTTGGCCACGGTTCGAAATCCTTCTTCACATAAACAACAATCTTTGACACATCCTGGCACAACTCTGGACATATATTTATTTGAAATCTATCAGGCCCCTGTAATCGTACATATCCTGATGCGACACATATTTGACACCTGTCTGATATTCACTGACACATTCTGAAACAACTCTTTGACATATACTTACCACCCATCTGACCCCTTTCATTCTTGATATATATATTGCGACGCAGATCGTAAGCGATCACTTGCAATTGCCCTTTGAGGATTTGATAGACTACAATGCCTTCACAGTGCGAATCAGGGAGAGCAGGGTGAACCAGATCCCTGAGATACTCGAACGGTATACTCCGCGTCGACTGAATAGGCTACAGCGCAACTTGAAGGTGTGTCCGCCGATCTTCGCATTAATACTGCTGGCGTACCGCCGTCATGCACCCGACATTACCCTGTAATGCATTTCAGCCATTCCGGACCTTATTTTATTTTTCGGCATGTGTGCGAGATATAAGGTTTGATGCGTAGATTATTGAGTGTACAATGTGTTGTAGTAATTATAGTTTTATGTTGGTAAATTTACCATGGGGTTGTATATCTCCCAAGCTCGCAGACCAGCTGAAAGAGTTGCTAGGGTTTTATCCGAAATCTTTTCCAACACAGAAACATTATATGGGAGGTTGTTATTTCCAGCTCACTACCACAAATGCCGATTCAATCGCAATGCTCGGAAATCTATGTTCGCCTCATTAACGCATTGGTATATCCTAACATGTGCCAAAGTAAACTTCTGCATAACGATAATATCCACATTAACGTGTTTTTCTTTGTCTTCTGGTCACACTACTATATAACTGTTGAGTCTTAAACTGTATCTTTATGCATGCGTTTGCTCTCAGGTATACCGCACCAAACTTCTCTTCAACCAGCCGTACCCGCAGGAAGATGATGCCTTCTCGCTCATACTAGACACCCTACTACGAAAAAAGAACGAACACCCAGAATTGTACATAAATGATACCATTAAGTAAATTTCTTGCGTGACTACATTATTTGATAATCTTGAGTTACCTTCGATTCATTTCTAGCTGATTTTTGGGTTTACTTCATTTGATTCCAAACATAAAGTTTATCAAAGCGATCAACTTGGTGCACATGGGACCGGGTCTGATATCCTATTGAGTAAAAGGGCCGAGCTCGCAGAATTTTCATCAATGACGCAGTTAGCGAAGAGAAATCCTGATTATTTTATTTGCGAACTTGTTTAAGTTCTCTTCCTCAGACTTAATAGACAGGTAAACTATCGGGATAAAATAATAAATCGCTCACACGGTACCTATTCAAACTCAAAGGTTCTTTAATACACAAATTTCTAGAACGAATCCTACAATCCAACCCCGATCAAAATATTACGCACTGTAACATATGTATATCATGGAAGGCAGCCCACGCTTTAATTCTAGAAATCAAGCCTTTGTATGAGGTCTATCTTAGACTTCTAAATTTCCAATTTTTGCGAGCAAGTGAGCAATTGTGGAAGTTTAATATATCAGTCAAACACACAATCTGGGGTTCCATGCCTATAGATTGGGCGTTTCAATCGAGTTTTACTCTACTAAACCCTAATAGTCATACTACATATACCATTGGAAACCGGCATGAGCTTACGATGAAGAACAATTGTCGTAGTCCGCCTGTACATTCATGGTAACTTCTAGCTCTCGTATGGCAACAGAATCAGTGGCGGACAGGACAACAATAGTGATGATAAGCTTCGTTTGAGGACCCATAATTCTCAACATCAGAGAACCAATATGTGGTCTTGATCAACCCTACCTGTGACCAAAGTTTGTATATGTAGTCATCCGCGTATTTTTTCTTACAGGTCCATATACTTCCAAAACCTACCCCATCTCTACTCTCAATCTCCCGACTTTTAGAGGAACATGTTGTATTTGTATAGTGGAATATTGACAAATCGCCACGGATCCCTCCAGAAAATAATTTCCAGAGTAGAACTATTTCGTGTTATACTGTACATAAGAGTCTTGACCTTGGTCCGTTATTGTTCACTTTAGTATGGTGCAATGCTACACTACATCACAAATATAGGAGGTGGCAGCAGAAGCAAATATTTTTAAATAAATACTATGTAGCTCCTGTATGTGTACATGTTTTTCTTTTGGAGTGGTATTCATTCGTACGTTAAAAACGTGATGACTGCATATACAGTCATCAATACATCTGACTCCAGCTAAAAAAAAACGAAATCGACGGCATAGCCTTGTAACCTAAATAGACGTGCAAGGCTGTAATTATTTGTCTAGCTGACCCTTCTGTACCTTCTGTATAAGGGCAGATGGAACACGCCATATAACCTTACAGCCTTGTTTCTAAATGACATGTTTAAATACACGTACAGTATATGGTTATTAGTCTTCTATATCTTGTAAATATTTTGCTGTTGGAAGTGTAAGATTATCAACCCGGTCATCAAAAGTTCTACAAGTCAAAATGACAGAAAGTGGAAGTAAATGCCGCAATCTGCATACTGATAACGTCGCAGTAGTAGATACTGGTAAAAGGTTGAAACGCGCTAATACGGTACTAAAGCTGGCGTATAAGGATTTAATCAGCAATGGTTTTTCACACAGCAACGAGTTGGATATGTCCATAGTGGCAATCAGTTGCAAGGGTGGGCCTGACACCTTAGCGATGCTGCAGTTGGCCACGAATTCCCGGTGTTGGCTGTTTGACTGTGTGAAGTTGGGCGCCACCTATGGTCTGTGAGAAGTTGAAGTGTGCACTAGAGAGCCCACATATTCGGAAACTCGGGCACGATATTCACTGCGAAGTCTATGCTCTAATAAAGCAGCATGGGATACACCCAGCGACGTTTTTGGACACACAATTGGGGTATGAGATCGACCACCACTCACAGATACAGGTCAGTCTAGCCAAGCTACTAGAGAAGTACGAGTTAAAGCACACCACCAAGGATGCCGTGCATAGTGCCAGGGAGGGGGATCCTAAGTACTGGTTGAAGAGACCCTTAGCCAGTAGAGCAATCCAGTATGCGGAGGCAGATGTGAGTTTGTTGCTGAAAATGGGACAGCAGATGGTGGCTCATCTATCTGGGGCTTTGTCATCAGTCAACAATGAAACAAAGTTATCCGTAGTACTCCGTGCGTTGAGCCTGCGAGTGTTATATGTTGCTGAATCGAAGGTAAATATTCAATCATATCCTCAAGTAATTTTATCGCTGCACATGCATACTGTTGTCTTTATTCGTGTGATCAAGGTGTGCAAAACTCTAAGACTTTATATCGAGCTATATATTTAAGACGAGGTTTGTGAATATAGTGCTGTATTGATTCTGCACTGCAAATTTGATGTATGATGCATAACGACTACAAACCTCTGTGAGGGGTTTAGCGACTGCCGATTACGTCGGATACTATAGCACTAGTTTGTTGTAATGAGATGGTTCGATGACAAGGTATATATAATATTCTGACTTTATCGCTGCCGATTTCCATCGTTTGCATTTAATCCAGAAACCAGGACAACGCGCAATTGCGTTCGACACATCATCCAGTTGCAGACCTTGCAGCCAAGAACTACTGCATGCTCTAGATCCCTCAGCCGTTCTGAGCTTGCAACCGATACACATCGAAGAGAAAGACATAATCGCTTCGACAAATGCATCCGAGGGCGTTTGCTCGCGCCCTTGAGAACCCGGAAGACTGGAAAGACCTTACAGACGTGGTACTGGATGTGGGCCGGCTTCCCCAGGCATTCTATGGGAAACAACGCAAGTTCCTGAATATTGAACAAGAAGCTGTACCCAGAGACTGGACCCAGGTGGTAACCGATGTGATGCGCAACTTGGCCCCTGCACCCGAGCCGGAACTTGGTGACGAGGACTTGCTGGTGACTCAAGAGGACATTATTGAAGTGGTCGAGAACATCGGCGGTGTAGACAAGTTTGGAAGTGATAACAGGGCGGGGTAAGTTTTAGAAATGTCATAAGAGTATTCGTGGTTATATCGGTACAAAAATCAATGATCTGCTCAGTATGCTGACAGTATATAGATGGCGTGTGTATGTGTGCGTGCTTTTGTGTGTGTGTGTGTGTGTGTGTGTGTGTGTGTGTGTGTGTGTGTGTGTGTGTGTGTGTGTGTGTGTGTGTGTGTGTGTGACG